GTGGTCCAGACCTGCATGGCATTGTTTCTCGGTCTGGTCTACCTTGTTGAGCTGATAATATTCTTTCTCATCCTTCTTTTCCTTTAGAACATGGTTAGGCAATCATTTGGACTGGAGGCACAACTGGAATTTTGAAGGTGTGCAGAGGTTGCACTCACAAAATGGGCACCATCATGGGCATAGTCAATCGCAAAGCAATCTTTGTCTAGAGAATAAACTAGCTTGCCCCTGAGGAAGCTTTCTTCCATTCAATTTATTTTCTTCTTTTCCTGGAGGTTCAGAGGGGGTTTTATGGGAGATTTGATGGCTGCCATAACAACCATAGTTTGTCCCAGGTCATCATAGGCTATATGTTTTTGGGGGGGGGGCGGACAACACTTTGGCTATGGCTTTCATGCTGGAGCAGCTAAGACAAGATCTAGTCTCTTGTCATGGGCAATCAGGCAATCATGGTACATGTCAGCATCACCAACCTCTGCAAGGAGGAAGGTCTGTTATGTTGGTCCATCTCAAGTGCCTTATGGATCCATCTGGTTTTCAGAGGGTGTGTGGGGAATCTCTCAGAGATTAGTGGGCAGTTCAAGCTAGTCAACTACCAGAGTACGAAGGTGGTGAAGGGAATGCATAGGATTGCTCCTGAACAGGTTCTCCTGGTATGTCCATTCCAGTACTCCAAGGAGCTCCAGGAAATGGACCAGCAGACGAATTAAGCTGCTGGAAAACAAGGAGTAAATATAATCAAACAAAGATACAAGATCATTTTTGGGCCTACACAATGGTGGTAAAAGTGGCAAAACATTGTTACTTCTCCATCATTATGGCATCTACATACTGCTGTCCAACAGCATTATTCAAACTAACCTGGGGTCTCTTTGGGGAATTATGTGCTGGAAGGAACTCCCAACAGGGCACTGTAATTTTTTGCCAAGGATTTTGCAGATAAATCACTCATATTCACTCTGAGTTAGATGCTGACTGAGCAGAGCCAAGGAGATTGTATGGGTACCTTCCTGAGTCTGAGATTCATTTTAGCCTGTGGATTGTAATCTAGTCAATGAGATATTCTGTGAGATGAGAGCCACCACGTATGGCCTGGATCCTTGCCTCTCCTGGCATATTTGGCCAGAGAAGGAAGAGGGACTAGATTCAAAAAACAGTGAATGCCTCTTTGAGAAAGGAGGTAGTACCAACTGCCTTGAAAGGGGCAGTGGTGCACTCCCCTCACAAGAGACTGCCCTTGATCTGCATTATGGACAATTTCCATTTAAAGAAAATGGTGAGGCAACAATTACAGAGGGCACATTTGCTATACCTTCAGTGGTTCCTATGCTCTTCTTGGGCTCACATGGTCAATGCCTCTTCAACACCTCTTTAACTCAAACATGTATTTTCCTGAGATCATGGAGCCAAGGCAGCAAAATAATGCCACACGGGTACTGAATATAAATAGTCATAGGGAATGAAGTAAGGGTTCTCACAGGTTCCAGTTTTTCCTTCTCCAACTGGATGACGTTGTATCCCAGGCTTCAATCCTTAATCTTAAACCAGTTGGACAGTAGACACAGGGACCACCATCTGGCTCTCAATCTGCTGTCACTAGGGTGGTACTCAGAGAAGCCCCAATCAGAGTGTGGGCTCCAGGTGCACTGATATAAGGACCAGTGTTTTCCCATTTGTCTTGGCTCCTGGCCTCCCTCAGTGTCAGAGGTCTCCCTGGTTCTTCTTCATTTTTGAGTCCTCTGTAGGGACCCTAAGAATGAGCCTGCTATAAGTTTGACAACTGCCAGCTACTCTCCCTGGAAATTAGACTTGACTTCCCCAAATTGGCACCTCTAGCTTCTGGGAATGTGCTTTTAAGCTGGCAGTAGTGAGCTTAATGGGGGAAATGCAAGTTACAGCAACTTTGAGATTGAGTCATTCAATAGGTAAATAGGTAGGTAAGTAGATGAGATAGACAGACAGACAGATCTACACACTTTTATGAGAGGGAATTGAAAAGCTGTTAAACCCTCTTTCCCCTGATAAAGCCTGCTAAATTTAGGAGCGAAAAACAGGATGTGGAAGGTGTTTCTGCCAATGGACTAACCACAATTTCCAAAAAACTGCAGCATTTCAAGAAAAGTCTTTTTATCTGGTTGCAGCTGACCCAGAAATAATCTTTCAAACACAGTTGGTAGCAAGGAATTTCAGTAATCCAGATATATTTTCAAACCTGCACAGAGTTTTCAAGCAGCAGCGCCCTGATATTTAAGAATGTAAGTGTTTACAATGTACATGAATTCTGAACAGGGAACATTGCATTACTATTCAATGGTTTTTGCTAAATTATATCATCATAAATCTGATATTATTTAAGATCCTGGATCCTATTCTGTAATTTGCTGCTTTGAAAACATAATGGAATCTAATGCTCCAACCCACTAACAATTAACAATTATAATTTTTAAGGGCCTTCAATTGTTGTAATTGAACATTGTTTTCACAGATTACATTAAAAGCTAACTCACTACTAGATTAACTAAGAATGGCAAGTATGATGGCCATTATATCTGAAGAAGCCTTGGGAACTATGTTAGGCTGCAACCCTATATTCCTGAAACTCCACTAAAATTAGAGATGGGATTCTGCTCAAATGCAAACTTTTGCGTTTTTGAACCAACACACAAGCCAAAATTTAGTTATCCTCTTAGAACCTCTGAATCTTTCTAAGCACTTTATCATCCAAACAGTAATAATGCCTACTGTATTAGTAAAATCCTGCACAAAATACATACATTCAGGAAAACAATGTACAAAAATTATTCCTCTTTGACAAAAATGTTAAACCAATGTACATAAGCAACATTACAGACAATTGTACATATTTTGGAGAGGTGTGCATTAAAGTTAGTATATACTAACTAATAAAGAAATGAGATAAACAAATGGACAAATTGAAAAAAACAGAAGCTAAAAAAATGACAGATTTTGAACACCGCAAGACTCATTCAAATTTATTTCAATTGTACACTGAAGGATATACTCTGATTAGTCTGTTCTTAAGTATGGTTACAACGGATTGTCAGATGAAGAAAGCCAGACAGAGGGAGAGCTGTGTAGCTTGCAGCTGATCGATTTATTGTATTCATAAATGAAAACAGTTGAACTAAGTACATTACACACTATCAAATTGCAGACTGTGAAGCCATCCAAAAAGTCCAATTATGCAAGACAAGGAAGACAATAACTTCCTCTCTGTGTGGTTTTGTGTAGCTGAGTTGCTAAAGAGAACTAAGCAGGAAACCCTGACAAGTCGAGCAGTCAGCATGGATCAAGACATGGTGGGATACATTGTTCTTCTGGTGATTGTCACCCTCCTAAGTGTTGTCCAAAATGGTAAGGCTGAACATTGTGTACGAACTCAAGAAATTGTGTACGAACCCAAGAAAGAAGGATGAATTTTGCTTTGGGGTGGGTGGATTGAATAAGATGCACTTTCATGCACTTGTTTTTGAATATCTTCATGCCTGTTGATATCATTGGAGAATTCCTTTTCTTCAATTTTGGGGGGTGGGAGGTGGGTCAAACAGCTTTAATATTATGCTTTTCAGTATTCAGTATGGATTAACAGTATGGACCTTCAAGTAAAATTAATTCAATGAATTTGAAGGAGAAAAAGTTGAATGTGGCAAATTACAAACTGGAGTAGAAATTCACTATTCAGCACTATATTTGAATGATGTGAAGTGTTGACCTGGCCTTAATTCCTCAGCTCTCAGATATATGACGTGGCATAAGAGGGGTTTGTTGATGAAGATTCTCAGTCATCCAGGTGGAATTATCTGGAGGTTGAGTCATGGCAACTGGACTTCTTTTCTTTTGGTTTGATACATTTCACTGCTTGTCCAAGCAGCTTCTTCAGTCTAGAAAGTTGGTTAGGGGGGACCCCGTAAATGTCCTCCAGGGTGGCTGCATTTCTCACTAACATGATGGGCTCGTATTGTCCCTTCAAAGAAGGATATGTATTTCTAACAACGGCCATAACTATAACAACCATCTGCCTTGTACTGATTCAGGCTTGTTGATTCATAGAGCTGAGTATTGGCTAAACTCTATAGCAGTGTTTCTCAACCTTTAAGATGTGTGGACTTCAACTCCCAGAATTCCCCAGCCAGCCTTCTGGAATTCTAAGAGTTGAAATCCGTATCTCTTGAAGTTGCCAAGGTTGAGAAACACTGCTCTATAGTGACTGGCAGAGGTTCTACAGATGTTTAGAGTGGAAATGCCAGGAATTACATTTGGAATTTTTGCGTGCAAAACATGGACTCTACCACTCAGTTGTAGGTCTGCCTTCCATTCCATTCCCTTGCTCTCTGCTGGGCTGGACGCAATGATAAAAATGTCTGGGGAAGATAATGGGAGTGATAAGAGGAAGAAGGATTAGGCCATTTCCCCACTAGTCATTTACAGCATTTTCTTGAATCATCCAACCATCCTTGTGCTGATATAATAGGCTTTTATATAGCTCAGCTAGTGGGGTAATGGCCTTACAATGCTGTTTTTAAGACTTTGATTTCAATGCACAGATGTTCATGCAAGCTTCATATTCAACTCAAATGGTGGGGAAAATTCCAGATGAAGAGGTGAACACACACACACACACACACACAGAGTGAAAGAACCCCATTACAGATGTATTGAAATAACATATGTGTGTTTATGTGTACATGAATAAATCCACACATTCCATATTACTCCATTGTATTCCATTTTATCTGAAATGGATTGGGAGTTAACTTTACTGGTAGCCTTCTATCCTCTCTCTTTACGTTCACTCCTTGAAATAGCAGCCTGCTATCAGTGCAAATGTAAGTGGACACTACAGTTGATACCTAATATGTCCTGGCAACATTTCTTTTCTGTTAAGCCCCATTACATTGCTTTCATCAAGTCCCCAGCCCGTGAGTGAGTACTTAGCTGTACTAGGTTTGGAGTAGTGCTGTCCCCTTTACTCCAGCCTCAGTTGTGTAAAATCTCATAGGCTCTATCAACCAATACCAATGCTAGGGAATAAAGGCAATAGAAGCAGAATAGAGATCAGCAAAAAAAAAAAGTTTTTTGCGAGTTACTGAAAAAAATGAAGTTCTGTTGTATGGGTTTGATGATTAGAAATCATATGGATTAATAGAAATAATGGAAGTTGTTTCTTAAACTTAGAGTAAGAGATGAATACATATTCATCTGTTGTGGGAAGGGTTGGAAGTCAATTCCTTCTTTCTTTTTTCTTTTTACACTTTTAATCTTTACTATTTTCTCTCTTTTCAACTTTCCTTTTTCTTAACATTCGTTCTTGTTAGTTTTTATTGTTTTCCTCAAAATTTAATAAAGTTATTATAAAAAAAGAAGAATTGGTGGAAAACACTTCAGCTCAGCCAGAGGGAAGGCCAGCCAAGAGGGGCCTTTCTAGGATGATGTTTTCCAGGGCTAGCAGGGATCATTTACTTTACCTGATATTTTTTCTTAAAGAGTTACTGAAGAATCATATTTTCACCCTCTTAGAGGCTGATGTAATATTTTGAGGTTCCCAAATCATTTAACAAGAGCAGAAAGGAAAAGAAAAGAGCATTTTAGAAGTGAAGTATAGAGCAGAGAAGAGAGATACCAGTCTTCCTCTGTTTATTGTTTTTTGTAGGTTTTCTCTCATTCCCCTCTCACTTTCTCACGTATCTTCTTCCTTCAGGGTTCAAGAATAATCCATATTTTAAACTAAATGGATGAAATATGGGAAATTATTTCCAGCATTGAAAGGGTGTGTGTGGAAAGAATTAAATTCCATCACCATAGTGCTTCTCCCCTGAAATGGTCCCCAAAACACCCTTTAATTTTTAAAAAATGGAATCCAAGCCTCATTCATAGGGGCAGATAAGGTCCAGATGAGCTCAGAAGTGCATTCTGCAGGCAGGAGTAGCTGAATTTTCCATTACCTTACAGGCATGTCAATACACAGGGAGAGTGAGAAAAAACTCCATGGCTGCTCTGGTTGTGTGGAGTAATCCGCAGCTGAAGTGGATGTGTAAATATGAGTGCAAAGCATATGCAAAGAAAGTACAACATTTGGAAACAAAGTTGAGGTTTCTTTTCAGGAAGTTGTGATGTAACTATGTAAATGGACATTGGTTGTTTAGGAAAAAATAAAAAAATAAAAAGAAGATAGCCACATGGGTCTTTCAGACAATTGCACTGAAGCACTTTCCACTAGGCCTTGAGCTGGCAGGAACGTATGCTCAGCATCAACTATGCTGTCCCCATGGTCATCCCTATTGTGCCATAGAAATAAGGGCAGCAAATGGTACTTTCTTTACTGTTTTTATCAGGGCCAAGTTAAAGAAAGCAACTGTGGATTCCTCTGGCTTCATTTTTCCACCCACCAAGTGTACAGTCACCAATTACACACTTTAATATGTGATGGTGCTGGTTTGGATGTGTTAAGCCATGTATTTAACGTGGGGGCAGGGGGGATATGAGGTAACGTGGAAGGGAGCTTTTCCAGCATTCATGCTCAGGGCAACCTTTCCTCCACACCTATGCCCAGGCAATCAGGGTGTTTCTGAACATGGGCTTAGCACTTTTCTGAAAAAGCACTAAACCTATGTTCAAAAACAGCCTGGATTACAGGTCACAGGTTCAGACCAGAATGTGGGGTGAAATAAAAGGCAGCAAGGGAGCTTGGTCTGGTGCTGCAAAGGTCTAGTGCTGCAAAGCAATGTCCATGCTGGAAATGAATGACCAAGGAGTCCAGTTTTGACCTCATGACCAGCAGTGCCTGGAATTAACTGGGAGATGCCCATGTGTATGTGTAATTGTGATTGACCAAAGCATAATAACAACAGTCATCACAAATGGCATCTTAATACTGTCAAAAACAGAATAGTGTTGAACACCCACCCACCCACACATGCCACAACATAAGTAACTGTGGTACACTGCAAGAGCAGCCGGGGAAATTGCAGCTGCATGATACTGGTCAGAGTGAGAGTTTTAAAACTCATCTCGCTGAGGCCTTGAAGACCCAGCTCTCTGGAAAAGGCTCTAATGCTAGGAAAGGTGGAAGGAAAGGGAAGAGGACGACCAGCAGCAAGGTAGATGGACTCAGTTACAGTGGCGATGAGTGTACCAGGATTGAGAGACCTGAAAGAACGGGTTAGGGATAGATTGTCATGAAGAAAATGGAAGAGTCAGTAATGACTCAATGGCACATAATCAATCAATCAGTCAGTCAAAAGAGAAAAAAATTAAAGAACAGCCATGCCAAGCTCAGTGTTGGCAGAAGCAGCAGAAAAGCACTTCATGATGACAGAACTAAGAACATACCTCTGGCAAAACCTGGCTCTCTTTCCTAGTTTAAATTCACTTTCTGGGTAGCACAGGACTAGCACCCTCGATTTAAAACAAAGGACTAGTGTTTGCTAAGCCCATCTTCATATGGAGTCCAAATTAGTCTGACAAGTACTAGCAAGGTGTTACATGGTCAGATGCTTCGGTGGAAGCCAGGGGTGCAATCTATCCTACAGCCCCAGCTGAAATGGCCCTGAAAGGGAGATTCTAGGCATTGGAAGGGAACAGGCATGCCAGTGGGAGCTGGACAGAACCCAACCCATGGCTGCATTTGCAGCCCCATCATCAGTGAAGCAGGCTAAACATGGCAGGAGAAAAAGGGAAATGCTATTTTAACAATGCAGCTAAGGGTGATTTTAAGCTGCCTCTGCTCTTCATGCTGGGAGTGAAACTAAGACTACTTGATGAGGGCATGTCAAAGAAAGTGGCTACTGGGGCATTGCTGTGCAGCAGTTAAGGGGAAGTGACAAAAATCCCTTAGTATTCATTGCTTTTTCTCAGAAGGGTAGAATAGTATCTTTCTTCCTTCTTCTGTTCAGTATAGACCTTTGCATGTAGATGGATATCTAACTGTGAGCTAGCAGTGCCGGTGGAAATTGGCCTAGAAACTTCCCAATATGTTTTAATCATGGTTGTATACCACAAGTGAATGCAGTACAGTAAGAGTAGGCTTCTTCTGACAAGTCCCCAAGGAATGCAAGGATTCTTTTTAGTCAATGCTTTTAACTTCCACAACAGATTTTAGCTGAACTCTTAACACAATAAGAATAAAACACTAGGGAAGATGATGTACCCAAGTTCCACAATCCTATTTTGGTTCGTTCTCTGCCTTTCATAAAAATCACATTCTACTGTCTGTATTAACGTACTGAGAATAGAGAAGTACAAACAGAGCAAAGAGCAGTAATTGGCTTGCTAACCTGCTTTACCCAATGCATAATGATAAGCCAACATTGAACAAACCACATTATGGCCAAGTATAGGGATGAACATGCTACAGCCCTTGAACTCCTATTATGTGACTTCTGGAGCCCTTTCTGAAAATGCCTGCTGAAAATTAACAGCACAGCTTCTTGCCATTTTGAGGCAGGGAAATGTGTGGAAATTATAGAGTAATCCCTAAACATGCATGACACTTTACAGTACATTCTAGAAAACAAAAGAAGCCCTCAAAACACAAGGAAAATGCAAATTTCAAGCACAATATGGCCTCCATCCATTTTACAACATCATCCATCAGTAAGGTTCTCAGCCACTCTGAAAAATATACAATGCCATTAAAAGTTTGTCTATCCCTGGCTTAGTGTGCTCTCTGAATCCAGACTTGGAGTGAAGAGACTGAGGTTCCAATGTATTCTAGATGATAGAAGATCACTGGATGACTTTGGGCCAGTCACTGTCTCTCAGCTAAGCCTATCTCACAGGGCTTTTGTGGGAAAAAATAGGAGGGAACATTCAGTTCATCTCCTGATGCCCTTAAATGAAAGGCAGCCTATAAACCTAATAATTAAATATGGGATTCTTCCTTTATTTTATTCATACAGTCACAAAGGCGCACTGAGTTGAGACAGAGTGATTAAGTCACCGAGCTCTGGAGTCTGTTAGAGGGCTGAACTTGAGTTTCCAAGGCTTGATTCCAACATTTTAATCACTATACAACATTGGCCTTCCATGTCACAGACAATGTGTGATGTCCAGTGGAGGCAATCAGAGAGCAGGGGAAAATAAACCTTTTGAGGCCAGGAGCACATCTGATATTTGACAGTATGTTTTGGACTAATTCACAAAATGGCTGTGATAGTTGATAGTCACAAAGCACTATTTATCAGAAGGTAAACTAATTTGCCAGGATGCTCCCTACCATCCTAACTGGACCCTGTGGGCTAACAGATGTTTCTGTAAATATGACGTTTGAGGCTAGTGTTTGTAGTATGCTGGCATCCTATTAAACTTTTTAAAAATTTATTATTATTTTTTTTAAGTCAGGCTAGAACACTAGAAAGCCTCAGGAAGATTCCTGGAGGCACATTGCCTGCTCCTGCCAAAGAAGATGCCCACTTGAGGCCATTCTTCAGGGAGACTGTCATGTAAGAAAGTCACAATATTTGGCTCAGGAGGAAAAAAAAGTGCTTAGAATTTCCAGATTATAAGTTAGAAATGGAGGAAGAGGTACTTCCCCAAATTAAAAACACAGTGCCTAAATCAGTGTTTCTCAACCTTGGCAACTTGGCAACATGCTGGCTGGGGAATTCTGGGAGTTGAAGTCCCACATCTTCAAGTTGCCAAGACTGAGAAACAATGGCCTAAACTATTTAAGTAAGTTATATTGATGGCATTAGGTTTGAAGGCATTCTAAGGTTATCTTAGTACTGATGCTTTTGACTGAATTATTGATTAGGTGCCATCAAGTTGGTGCTGACTCTTAGCAGCCACATAGATTTTTTCCAGGAGGATCTGTCCCCAACCTGGACCTTCAGGTCTTCCAATGGCGTACCCATCACCGCTGTAATTGAGTCCATCACCTTGCTACTGGTCATGCTCTTCTCTTTCCTTCCATTTTTCATAGCATTATGGACTTCTCCAGAATTTGCATAATGTGTCCCAAGTAGGACAATTTGCATAATGTGTCCCAAGTAGGACAATTTGAGCCTAGTCATTTGTGCCTCGAGTGAGAACACTGGGTTGGTTTGTTTGATAATCCTTTTTTTTTTTTTGGCTGTCCATGGTATTCTCAGGAGCCTTCTCCAATGCCAAAGTTCAAAGTGTTAATACTTGTTTTATCCTGCTTATTTGAAGTCCAACTTTTGCCCTCATAGAGTATCACAGGGAATACCATTGGCTAATTCTGATCTCTGTAGGTATAAACACATCCTGTCATCTCAGTATCTTTTTCAAGACCTTAACTGTTACTCTATCAAGTGCTAGTCTGATGCATATTTCTTGACTACTAGTTCCTTTACTTTTGATAGTTGATCCTAAAAGGGAGAAGCTAGGACTGGCTTTAGGCTAAGGCCAAGCAGGCACTGGCCTAGGGTTCCAAAGCTTAGGGGTAACAACAACACCCCTGCTTCCAAATCTTTTTTAAAATGCAGATCTTTGCATCAACTGGAAGTGGTACCATCAGTCAATGTGGCCTAGGGGCACCATATGCCCTTGAGTCAGCACTACACATACTGATTTCTTTTTGCCATTCTTTGGCTTTCTTGATTATTCAGTGTGCATCAGCAGTAATGCCTGGTGTTCCTCAGCCTTTTCTAAAGCCAGCTTGAACATCTGGCATCTCCCTTTCCTTGTAGGGCTCTAATCTGTGATGGATGATCTTAAACATTATTTTGCTAGCATGTAAAATTAAGTGTATTGTGCAATAGTTTGCACACCATGTAAAATCTCCTTTTTTGGTACTGGTATATAGACCAGCCTCTTCCTATCTGTTAGCCACTGTGTTGTTCTCTAGATTTTTTGGCATAACTTGGTTAGAAACTTTATTGATTCTTCTTCTGTTACTTGCTATATTTCTGTAGATATTCTATCCATTCCAACTTGATAATGATTGGACTGCTGATCTCACTTCATTTTCTAGTACTAAAAGTTTTTTTAAGTAGGGAATATCATCTAAGCTACCTTAGATGTTGACATCTCTATTGTACAGAATTTCAGTATATTCTTTCCATCTTTCTTTGATCTTCTTTGAATCAGTCACTGTCTATCCAATGGCATCTTTTACAATTTGAGGTTGGAACCTCCTTCCATTCAGAGATCTTTTGGAAGACTTTCCCTCTTTTTCCATGTCTGTTTCCATTTTCAGTGTCTGTACAGATACTGTAACACTGCTTCTTGTCTCTTCTAACAGTTCTCTCACATTCTTTATTATTTTCTGAGAACTTCACATTTTTTGGCTTTGTCTTCTCTTCTCCTCTAGGCAATATCTACGGTTTGTTCTGACATCCAGTTTGCTTTCTTCTGTTTTGTAATCTTTGAGAGTCTTTTTTCACATTCACCCTTAACAACTTCTTTAAGTTCATTCCATATGTCCTTTCATTCCCAGTCAATTAGGTTCAGGACTTCAAAGTGATTCCTGATGTTCTCCTTGGTGATTATATGCTCAAGATAATATTGTGGAAACTGGTTGGCTTTCTTCTGCTGCTTTAACTTAACTTGAAACTTGCACATGAACAATTTGTTGTCTGTTCCACAGTCAGCCCCAGGCAACATCAATGCTGTTATAATTGAGCTCCTCCATCTTCTTCTACCAATAATACAGTCAATTTTATTTCTGTGTGCTCCATCTAGTGATGTCCATGTATACAAGCATCATTTTGGTTGTTTGAAGAAAGTAATACCAATGAAGAAATCATTGGATTAGCAGAAACTGATAAGTCATTCTCCTGCTTGGCTTTTGTTTCCTTGGCCATACAGTCCTACTACATTTTCTTCTTCCTATTTCAAACTTTAGCATTCTAGTCTCCAGTAACAATCAGCACATCTTGCTTGAATGTTCTGTCAATTTCAGATTGAACTGCACCATAAAACTCCTCCATCAACCTCCTCTTCTTCTGCATCAGTGGTTGCAGCATAAACTTGGACAATCATCAGGTTTGTCCACAAAGTCTAATTTATATTATTTAGTCATTGATTGCATTTTAGCCAAATACTGTTCCTGCTATACCCTTCGTAATTATGAAAGAAATGCCATTTCTTGTTTTTCATATCCTGAGTAATAAACAATTAGATCTTTTGACTGAAAGTGTCCAGTTCCAGACCATCTCAATTCTCTGATGCTGACAATGTGTACTCAATTCATCTTTTACTGTGTTGAACTTTCTCACATTCAAGCTTTTTATGTTCCATATTCACACTGTAATTCTGTCTTTCAAGCTTCTGATTTTGTTTTCCTGCATGGCAGCCTCGGCAGCTCGATGTCCCAAAGGCTTTAATCTAGCCATGCCATAACCATTTGTTCTCTGAAAGATCTTTGGTTCTTCCTTAGTAGCATGTTAAGTGCTATCCAACCTGAGAGGCCCATCATCGAGCACTATATCATCAGTCGTTTTATATTTTCTATCCATATGGTTTTCTTGGTAAAGTGCAAGAGTGGTTTACCATTTCCTTCTCCCACACAATATGAAATTATGCCTTTGCCATTGTCACTAAAGTGAACATCTGCTTCCTATACCACTGCTGCCCGATATTATGCCTGCTTGCTTTAGCTGGGCAGCTGGGATGACCTTCCCACCTTGGGTGAGCCTGCTGGGACTATTTATTCTTGGCATATTCTCCTCCAATGAACACCCCACCACCACCACAATGGGGTGGCACAGCAGGACTTTGAGGAGTGGGTGGGGGGGAGAATGCTTTTAATAGGTCTGAATAGATTTGTTATATCTAACCACTACTGTTCTGGATTTTTTTTAGTATCTGTTGGAATGAAATATTTCTGTTTAATACTGACATTTTGCTAGGTAGCTAGCTATTATATTGTCATAGAAATATTTTTGTTTATTTTTAATAGATTGCTATTTTAATAGAAAAACTAATAATTTTAACTGTTTGCTTAATATGAATGTTTCACATTGCTGTTTTTGATATTATAATTATATTAATGTATCTTAGCAACTTTGGTGTTCTACAGCAACAAAAACCAAAACCCAAAATGAAAATTCATTGTACATTTTTTTAAAAATTCACAGCCTTTTTTGCAAGCAAAGTCGAACAGGAAAGCAAAAACAATGCGGGCAAAACAATTCACAGGTGTGGTTCAACTGCCTTTGACCGTGTCTTTACCGCCAAGTGAGTATTCCTTTGCATATTCATGTTAAAAGAGCGAGAAAGAGTTCCATATATATTATTTATTGTAAGTGTTGCAGTTGTGGATACAAGAATGGCAAAATCTAAAGAGGCATTCTGGAACTGAAATCTGTTAAGGCTGCTAAACATATCTGTTACAGAGGTGGCTTCCCTGAGAATTATGTGGAGCAAATCTACACAGAATTCTGATTTTAAACACAATTCCTGTCTACCTCACTAGCCCTAGAAAGCTGGCCTTCAGTTATGAACTATTTCTTGGTTGACTCATTGGAGATAATAGGGCATTCCGCTCACATACTTGAGCTGCAAAAATCCGGACAGCCTCTAGTGGACAGTAAAGGGTTAATGTTTTCTGTTTCTCTTTGCTGTCTTCTAGTGGTCATGCAGATGTTTGCAGTCCAGATCTTATAGCCTCAGCTCACAGTGGTCTTTAATTCAACTACTGTGTGCATACCCAGGAAATACCCCAATCAAGCATATCATACAAAGCAAAATCAGGGGAGTCCACCGGGTATAGTAAAAAAAAACTCAAGATGGTGGCTATGACGGAGCCATAAACTCTTCACTTGGTTTTTATGTTCATCGTGATATAGACACCCTGCAAAGCCCGGGTCCAGACAGCCACATCCTCTTCCAGGAAACTCTGAACATCCCACCACCACCACCACCATTGTTGCAGTCTGCCATTAACCTCTGCCTGAAAAGAATGCTCAGCTCACTGTCCAACCTTCATACATTTGTTGTTGATAGACTTTTTTCCTGATTTTCTCTCTCTCCTTTTGTATTCCCACAACCCTTGAAGTTTGCCCCAGCTTGCTAGCTACTTCTTGGACACATTTATGCCCTTTATATGTATAATGTCTGTCACACCAAGACTGTTCTTTCTTCGTTATTTGCTAGATTTATATCCTGCTTTTGGAAGCAAAAATTAGCATACATTTTATGTGATCTCCAGGAGTAAAGACTGACTCAAAACCATAAAAAAAACAAACCACACAATTAAAACTATCCATCGCTAATAGTCGCATAAACTGTCATATCAATAAAATAACAACCACAGGTGACAACAAAATTAAATCAGAGCAAGAAAACCTCATACTTTAAAGACCATATGGAAGAATTCCATTTTGTGTAATGCACAGTAGGAATAACCTTGAGGAACAGGAGGAAGAGCTGCAACCAAGACACCGTTCAGATAAAAGAAATTTGAGTCTGAGGCAGAAACGTAATTTGAGAAAGTGTCTCAGACTTGACCTTCCCTAGTTCTCACAAAGATAATTGGAGGGAGGGGGAAAATGTATTCACACTTGCAAGATTCTGTTACTGTAACCTTAAAATAAAAGTAGTATTAGCATTCATAACTTTGATTTCCTAGTCTGGTCTACCTTGAAAAGCAGACATTTTGACATACTTATGAAAAAACAGAGGGTTGGTGACAGCCAGACCTGGAGAGGGTCTCTTCTACAAAGTGGGAGCCTCCACAGAAAAGCAGTGTCTGTTGATCTTCACGGTTATCACTTTCCATGGGAGGGAACACCAACCATCCCCAACAGGAACAAATGCACAGGACAGGACAGAGCTTCTCTGAGGAAGCAATTCTGAAGATACAGAGATACTCTCCTCCAATAATTAATTAATTTATTGTTAAACTTGTGCGTCACCTGACCCTGAACAACTCTTTGGTTTTTCTGTTTCGCCTTCTCGCAAATCATCATATTCTGTTTGTTAAATTTGAGAATATTTTTACTTTTAAACACTTTAGTTGAAATTTCACATTGAAAGTTATATATATTTTGATGCATGTTTCTCCAAAACATGCATTTTTGTTTGCAATTTTGCGTCATGTGTATAGTTTTTATAAGTTTCCCTGATATAATGCATTTTATACATTGTTTCCTTAATATACGCATATTTGAATAGATTTTTTTCCAGTTTTTTAAAATTCATTTACTTGCTGGCTGTTTCACTACAAAATACAGAGAACTGTAAACTGTGAAAACAAGAAATTAGATAAAAGCAAACTAAACAAATGTCTTAATCATCCCTAGCAATGGTCACACAGTCTGGTATTATACAGATAGTCACCGGGTTAAGAATGCCCAGTTTAAGGATGCCCCATAGTTAAGAACAGAGCCTATTTTAGCAAAATTTTGAGTTAAATACACAATGATTTGAGTTAAATACACAATGGTTCGAGTTCATTACACAAT